TGTTATTTAATGCTGCGTCTAGTTCCTTTCACAGTTGGGTGGCATTCTAACGAATCTGTAACTCCTAACTGTGGACTAAATTTACTTGGCTGTTTATTTTGCAAAGGTTTTATATTCTTTAACGGAGGTCACAAGAAAGAATCGCCATGTTTTAAAGCTCGCATCTGTATATTGTTTCTGTGTCTGTGATAAATGGATCAGATAAGCTCATTGGTTTTGTTAATATATAATTCACGCAAGAATCATTTGCCTTTTCCAGACTATCATGCTTTGTATATAGTATTATTAATTAACTGTTGATGTAGCGCTTTGGTTTGTTAATATATTCACGCAAGAATCATTTCAACATTTGCCTTTTCCAGATTATTGTGCTTTGTATATAGTATTATTAACTGTTGATCTAGCGCTTTGGTTTGTTAATATATTCACGCAAGCATCATTTCGACATTTGCCTTTTCCAGATTATTGTGCTTTGTATATAGTATTATTAATTAACTGTTGATCTAGCGCTTTGGTTTGTTAATATATTCGCACAAGAATCATTTGCCTTTTCCAGATTATTGCACTTTATATTATATAGTATTATTAACTGTTGATTATTTAATATCGATGTCGATGCTTGTTGTATCAATAACATAATCTATTAATGGCCCAAAATGCATGGCGTTTTTTAAAGATTTCTCAGTACTGGGGCAAAATGTGTAAAAGGTCCCATGGGTATGGCCATGCTCTGTCTGCTCTAACTCCTGATGGTACTAATTATTACTGGGACTATTGCAGTGCCCCCAAACCATGAATGTCTCTCTCGAAAAATGTGCAATTTACCAAAATTTATCTCTCGATATATGCGCAGTTTAGATAAATTTATATATACTGTAATACGGCCCCCAAAGATTGCTACACTATAAAATGCACATCGACAAGAGTATAGCCTTTTCGCAGGTTAGGTGTTGGGCATGACTCTGGAGAAACAGAATGAGATTTTATATTTCCCCTATTAAACTAAATTTTGAAATAGGAAAATTCATCTGCACAGCTGTAAAGAGCATCCTAAATTTAGTAGAAGACATCTGTTTTTGAGCACTAAAATTAAATAGCTGTATTTCTCAGGAGTCAAGTTCAATTGTTCAAACTTGCATAATATTTTGATCATGAATACAAAAATGATTCCCAGAAAGTTTTTGCTGTTACTGGATGTAATACACTCAGGTTTGAATCTTTAATTAAAATTGAACCTTTTGATGAAAAATTATTTTTCTTGCTAATTTTCGCTCAAAAACAAAATTTTGACTGGGCCGCTCCTTGAAACTCTCCCTAGACCTTTTGAAAGGTAATTTATTCAGTGCTTAGCTTCAAATCTGGCTTCAACCAATCATAGGGCTTGATCACTGGAGTTATAGTTCCAGTCTTTATATTGAATTATTTTACCAGCTGAGCTGAGCGTCACTCATGATTGTTGGCATAAGCAAGTTCCTCCAGTGTGCGGTAGCGTTTTGAGCGATTTCATCCACGCGTGCCATCGGCACAGAATATTCAACATGTTGAATAATTAACTTCAGTCACAAATGAACATTTCCTCCAAGTGTGTGCGCTCGAAAAGCTATCACCCTTCATTGTAGATTGAATAGGCATGCGTAATAAAGCATAAGACAAAACTGAAAATAATTAGTTCAAATTAGTTCCGCTACAGCAGAAAGAACATGGGAGAATATGCTGTGACAGTTGATCACCAAAATATTCGGTATCGTGTAATTAATATATGTTGCGTTTAAAGCCCAAATCGCGCAATTTGCTATCATTTTTAGCACATAAACCCGAATTTTCCCTAGTTATAGTTGACTTTTCCCAAAAGCACACACAGCTTTATGCTCTTTGCGATACTCTCTTTATGTCTACATGGCTTGCTTTTTATTCTGCGCAATATTTCCTGTGCCACTTTGGCCATGAACTCGAGCGACCGGCCATAGTATTGATATAGATTATTACTACGGTGAACCTGTGGTTGAAATGTACAGCGGCTGAATTCTTTAAAGCATGAGTAAACGACAGAAAGTATGCACAGATTCTGAAAGCCTGGAATCCAGTGATCAATATGGTACCAAAATATTAAAATTCGGCGCAATATTTCTTGTGTCATTTCGACGATTTGTGTTAGCAATGTTTTGGTCGACAGGGCTAAAATCTAGTTGTTTATGGCTCGGATTACTTCTGGCACCTACCAATGCAGTAAGCGAAGAAGGCTCGTGGGAAAGCAATTCGAATAAAGACCGTCCTAATTTTAACAGTAAATAAGTATGTAACATTTTAAAGTAAATAAGTATGTATCATGTACTGTTTAATAAACAAGCAGGAGTGTTTATTAGGTTTAAAGACATGAGTGTGCAGCGCGAGTGGCTTTAGACCTAATAAAACACGACCTGCAAGTTTATTAAACGGCTTCAAACACGACTACAAATTCAATAGATATGTTGCCTATTAGTATTCTTTATATAAAGAATACTAATAATGACACGACTACAATAGATACTGCCTTATTACTATTCTTTATATAAAGAATACTAATTGGGCGTGTTTTACCAGGTTTAAAGCCACTGCACGTGTCATATTATGGTTGACATGATTTGCCACTAAGCCTATGAATTATTAATGAGTGTCTGGAATCTTTATATGACATTAAATAGCATGTATATTCCCGATAAATCGTCGCGACGCAGCTGTAAGTGAAGTTTATTTATAATGATTCACTATATCTCGTCAACTAATAGAGCAGTATGTAAGTCAACAGGCATATAAGTAATGTATTTTGTGCAGTGTATGAGTGTAATATGTTTGTAGTGCAATATGCGTGAACATGAATGACGCGTTGCGCTTTTGGTGTGCGGGTTTACACTTTCATGAACAACAACATAAAGAGAATGTATGTATGCCTGAAGGCCGACTATTTCACATAATTTCGAGGGTGCAAACTTTTACAAGCGTTTTGTATAACTCCATATCAGCTTTAAACTGTCTTCTGTAGTCCTATAAAAACCTTCGCAAGGACGTGTACGCTTCTGACTAAGCCGCTATCGTATAAATTACTTGCAATTATATGCACGCATGGGCGTCAAAGAGGCAAATGTCCGCCAAATAAAAATTGCCGGTCAAAATCAGAAACGAAACAAACAATTCCCAAGAGGGAATTAAAATTGAATGTTAAATGATCTAAAATAAGTTCAACTCGTCAATCTTTGTCTTAGTGAGAGCATAAGAACGTCCATTATTGCATTAAACATGGTTCAATTAACCCCTCAACAGAAAACATTCATAATCAAAACATTTTACGAAACAAGTACCTTGCAGCAGACTGGCGGTGCTTTCGGATTGATTAACTTTGCACATCTATTTTCAATTTCGGTGGAAGAATGTGATTTTGACCGACAATTTTTATTTGAGGAGTATGTGGCTATTTCTCATCATCACAGTTTAAGAAATATATCATAGAAAAGCTAAATAACAGCTCTTTCGCCCTATGTAAAAATTGAATTGTTTAGTTAAGTTTGTGATGCACAACAGCCTGTTGAATTTCTGTAGTGTTTTTTTTGAGACACCCTGTAGTCAATATTCACCGATAACACTTCACCATCTTCGACGAATGATAGTTAATTATGAAATAACAATAATATCTTCACCAGCCCACATGCATTGCTTAATAAACTGCTTAAATACAGATCCTAGAAATCTCTACGACCACATATTAGTTTTGCTCTTCGCTTTGCTGTGGCCTTTGACTTGAGTGTAGCAAGAGTACCAGTTGAATAGTTTCTTCATAACCATAAATATATCAGAGCTCTTGCATACTGTATATAGCTTTGTCTAACCAAATTTCCCCTCCATATTTTGTTTGTACAGCCCCCCCCCCCCCATATTTTTCCAATGTGAGAAATAATTAACTTTTGGTGCTCGGACCCATTTTTAAGTGGGCAAAGACTACACCTCTTGAGGAGGTCTTGGCCTGCCTAAAATTTTGGGTAAGCGGACCTTTAATTTTGCGTTTACATGAGTGCCAAAATTTAACTGTGCCATGCCCAAAATGATTGTTGTGTAAACAGGCCTTTAATTTGCAACTTCTTTTACGATTGTTACATGTTATTTTAGTTACATTATACATTTTATAATTTATATCTGCAGACCATTCATTTTTAAGTATTTTTGGAGAAAATGTAATACTTTATCATTTTATTTCGGACTTTAACTTGAGATATTTAAGACTCAGACTTGGAAATGCTGGACTTGAAATTTAGCTACAGACTTGGATTCGGACTTGAATGTACAGGACTTGAACTCGTAGTTTGCGGACTCGACCACAACACTGACACTTTCAAATTGTGACATGTATACGCTTTTGTAATTATATATCTAACTCAGTAACAAAATTTCAATGCAATGACAAACAGATATTTAACTGGATAGATAAAACATAGAAACAGTCTCACTTGAGCAATAATATGTGTTTGAAGTTTAAACATCAAAATTCTAATGCGGCAGATACATGCAATGCAAACGAACTTAATGAGTTTAGGTAGTCAGCACATGAAATTAAGCCCAAGAATTAACGAATCTAATTCATACCTGCAAACTAGTCATTACTTTGTTAGAATCTTCAGTAATTGATCCCAATTTGCTAGCCTCCTCTGTACTATCATCCACTTCCTTATTTGAAAAAAGGCGAATAAATGTCGCTATTCCTATTGAAAATGACTTTTGTAACTAATAATTAACTATATCCACAATAAGCTAAATGGATATTGAACATGCATGACTTGGAATTGAGATATAGGGGAAGACAAGATTAAGGCCACTGCAATTATACAGGGGAATATGGGGATATTACAATTTCTAACACACATATATAAACTGATTCATTAAATGTTCATGCAATATAGATGAAAACTCTCAACCAATGAGAAAACTTGAAACGTTATTTTTGTATAAACTTTTGTTCATATATGTATTTATACCTTCCTTTTCCAATAGAAACCGAACGTGTAATGCTTATTTATCTCCTTGTCACTGTTTACTGTTGATTTCCCATCGACAACTGCTATGTTGTATAATTTTAGGACGTCTTCTAAATCTGTCCTTTCATCAAAGAAAACTGTGACAAACGCTTCATGGAGATCTTGCAGAGTCATGTTATTGTTCATGATGACCTAATAGTTCACAAAAAAACACCAATTATATATAATCTTCTGTTTCCATGGTATTTATACTTTTTGCATTTAAATACTGTTCAGGATTAGAAGCGTTTTTATCATCCACATTATCATTAGTTATATGCCCATATGTGGCTACAACTTTTCATTTTTGACTCTGACTAATGGCTTCCTAAAATGCATATATACACACGATTATTTGCATATACCTTCTTATATTCACCAACCGCTGTGTACGGTGGTTTTTGAATTTGCATTTTTCCATTTGGATAACGTCTAAAACTTTGCTCTGTTGACATTGACGTTTGCATCTCTAGCAAAAAGAAAATGGTTTAATTCAAGTTTGAAATTTACGCTTTTTGAGCAATATAACAATGAACACAGAAGTGAAGCCACGCCGTTCGCCATAGAGCAACCAATATTTTCACCAGCCTTCACATTGGAAGGTCCACAAAACATACTGTTTCACTCCTGCATATATTAATTGAGGCGAGACAAAATTTTTTCAATGTTGCGGGGTTGAGTTACTCTACATATATGATATAGGAGAGATGAAACGTTTACACTGCGGAAAGATGTTTTTGAGACTCTGCTAAAATTGATGTATATATAATTTCAGTATCTTATATGCATATATTTAGTCGTATATGATCGCATTTAAAAAGTTATTTAATAAGTAACACATTTTCACGTAAAACATCCACTTCATTCAAACCTCCTTCCTGAATCATTGATGTCTTATAATGGTATGTAGTAACATTTGGATTTTGAATACACTCAAAGAAACCAATAAATATAATTATAATTTATAAGGATCATACAAAGACAATGTGTAAACAATTTATTGTCTTATGCCTGCCTGTTTGTCACATGTTCTTCTCTTCTCAGCCACATCCCACTTCACTCCATCCATAACCTATATCGTGAAAAATATGGTAGAAATACTTTTCGGCAAGCAAGCTTCAATAAATTTTTCTTATTTATGATAGGATATCAGTATGATGATGTAATAACCACTATACACTTTTATTTTGAGGAAATTCTGTTTAAAAACATAATTTTGTCAAATACTGATGTCTCACCATCCAGTTCCATGAATTATAATTTGCTCATTGTTAGTTAAGCTATGAAAGTCTAAATATTTTGCATGCAAATGGACAAAAAGAATACTGTGTCATTTGTTGATCAGTTTATATATTATACTAGGAGTTACTATCGCAAGGAAAGTGCTGCCTCACCCCCAAGGGATCAAAGGGAGCATGCACAATTTGCTGAATAAGGGTCTGTTTATATGATCCCGCTTTCCCAGGATGAGATATGAGGTGGGACGATTTCGATATATTGAAATAAGTTATGGTGCACAATACAGCAAACGACTACATTATTTTCAAGAGATTCAGATAGATTATAGTTAACTGTAAATGAAAGATTGTTCAGGCAGTGATAATCAGGCAGCGATAATCAGGGTCTTCAGCAGTGGGGCTTCAGAAGCGATGGGCCAGGGGGGCTGACGCACCCCCACCTTTTTAGTTGGGGGGCTAAATGTCCTTGGGCCCTCCACTTTTTAACAATGGTTGGTAGTAAACCACAAAGTTAAATGATAGTACTTCAGTTACCTGTGTAGACAAAACAATTAGACATATTTTATGACATTCTGTTACCTTTAGAACTCTGTAAATCTCCTTCTAAAGTGCAGGAAATGGCATTTCAGAGACTCTAGTTTTAAAAGTTTCCCGGGGAACATGCCCCTGGCATGCCCGGGGAACATGCCCCAAATGCAATTTGAATATCAAACACCTTGCACAAAGTTGAAGGTCAGCTAAATATTCTAATTCTACTTTCTTAGCTTGGCCTGCATGGACAGTATAATATGAATACCTTCAATGCTTATAATTTCTTACTTTTGTATGTATAATTATAATAATGTCTGTGGCAAAGCTAGCTATAGCAACAGCTAGGTCATGCTATGCAAATTTATTATTTGCATTATTCAAATGATGTAGGTTATTAGCATAGCATTACCAGTTGCAATGGCTAGCTTGCCACTGAATACTGTATAATATCATATATAGAAATATTAAGTCAGTTTTTGTCCCAAATATTGTTTTAATGGCACCTTCATGGCTACCCTTGTTGACATTTTTGTTTAATTAATGCATCAGCTTCAGATACACCATTCAATGTAATGATTAAGATTGTACTCAGTCAGAACTGCAAAACTGTATAATAAGAAAAAAATTGTGAGCATTATCCAAAAGTATAGTATACCCACAGAAATGTAGTGACACAGTCAGGTGAACATATTATGCTAACAATGGACATATCTTATCATATCATTATTCATGCGACTACAAGAAAATGGCTTTGAGCTTCTGAAGGAAAGAAAAACTTTGTAATTCCAAAATTACAAAATGCTGTAGCTTCTAATTCATACATGGGGTGGGGTATTTGAACTCAAATCTTTTGCAATATGTGGTGTATTTGAACGGGAATTACAAATATATGTAGGGAATTTGACATGACGAAAACGTCAAAATCCAAATTCCCAGGGGTATCGGGGGGTGTCAAGGTTTCAATTTGATTCACACATTATTAAAGGGCCCTACAGTCATTTTTTAGTCGAAAAACCACCCTAAGTAGGGGACTTCAAGTATCCATGAGTATGAGTACTTCCACACACCAGAAGACGCATGCATGCCATGGTGCACATGTAAAGTAGCGACAATAACAAAAAAATGTAAATAATACCTAAAGGTGGTTTTTCGACTAACAAATGACTATAGGGCCCCTTTAACCACACGTAAAAATTGAGAAAATCAACAACTTGTTGCAAGTTGATATCGACAGGCGTGAACAAGGTTGTGCGGCCCAGTATGAACGGTATTGTTAACTTGGAACAACATGGTTGACAACTTGTTCATAGTTGGCCGCACAACATTGTTCATACCTGTCGATATCAACTTGCAACAGCCTGTGCATTTTTATAGCCGTGTCATTTGCCATTCTCAGCAACAGTGGAATACAGTATAATGTAGCATGACATTTGAGTATAAAAAATCGTATAAAATGACACTATAGCTTGACTAAAACGTCAATAGTTTTTGCCTCAATGGGCTTTATGGTATCGTTATTTTGTGCATCAAAAGGAGTCACATGTGTTGTAGTTGTTTTCGCATGCATTACAGCTGGCACATTACGTGTCGATCACATATCTCGTAAGGAAACATGTTCGTACAACATGAAACACTGACAACTTTAGGTAAGTTATCTATACATACATAAATTCAACAAACGGCAACAAAGCCATTATCCAGAGCTTGCAAGTACATTTTTTCTCCTTGTAATAAGACATTATTCAATGTTGTTTTTAACCAATCGATCAGTGGTATATTTTGGGCAGTTAAATTGCTGATATTAACTGATAAAAGCACATTGTTTGCCTCTAGATTGAACACTAAAAAGATCATCGCCTTGATGTATATAAGAAGAAAGGAATAAAGCCATACTTACCTGAATTTTTCCCAATATTTTCGATTTCTTGCATTCGTATTTAAAAGCTTGAAAAATCTTGAGCACATGGAGATGCGTGTGCAATACAAAATTTTCTTTTGACCACTCCCCTCATTTAACAAACGTCCCTGAAGCTTTTAATTATTCCCCCCAGATTAC